GTAAGCTTGCTAAATATGTGACTTTACACACATATATTAATATATTAATATTATTACCTAGGGTTATTATGAAACGTGGGTTTTCTATATCAAATGGAGATTCATAAGAAGCTAATATTCATGGTGTGTTGAATATTAATTAGAGTTTATTATTATAGTAACCAATTATTTTTGTTACAAACACTAAATTATTATCAAAACTTTAATCGTTTGGTTTATGTAGTATTGCAAAATAATCCTATGGGTTTTTTCGCCAAGTAGAAACTTACATCTGATGTTTAACTTTTCAAACTTTACACTATTTCAATATTGCAACGCCGCACATGGACTCAGAACTGCCCTCTTGTCATTCTTAATCAGACGATCTTGAAAGAGTCATGTTTAGTAGACTTGGTTGGTGACGTTAATCCTTTCTTCTTACATGTTAAACAGACATTTTGAGAACAACATATAAAAAAGTTCTTGTATTTTAAATAGTAACATAGGGTTATGCATGATTTGTGAAACATTGAAAGAACATATGTATTTCATACATCTGGAAATGCGATTGAGAACGGATGGATAAGTAGTAAGTCACTTATTTATTATTTTTATTACAGATAATGACTCAAGACGTTGGTGGATTGTCTACGGATAGTTATTCAAATAATGGTTTTGACATGTGGAAATCTCGTGTCACATGTTATGTCACAAACTAGTGAAACTTTTAATTATTGCGTAATAAATGTTTTATTGGCGATTTTGTAAGTTATATTTATTATATTGCCATTTTTAAGGGAAATTAAACATAAAACCATATTGAGACGAGAGTGTCATTGTGTCATGGTCGCCTATTAATATATTCTCTGTTTTGTGGATGATGTAGCAGTAGTTCTAATTTGTTAAATAACCGACGTTTTCATGTCAATACCTTTTTTATAAATCTGAATGTAGATCAGATTGGAAAATCCTTATTGTGAGAAAAGAAATATTATACACACTGAAAACACTTGATTAAGTTTTAATTATTGTATCATCTTTTTAAGAAAAATTAATTATAATTCTATTAGTGATAAGCATTCTTTTTAGTACAATTTAATTAACTAATGTTAACCATTCTTTTTAGGATGAATCAATTATAATTGAATTTATTAACTAATAAAGTAGTGTTAAGTGTGTGGAACTATGACCTCGTCGATTTCCACGTCGACACATGTAGCGCCATCTGGCAGCATAAATTGGAAGTATGTCATCACTTCCTCTCCCCCTCCCACGCTATGGGAGCATCCCTTGGACGCTTTATTGGGGGATTTACTACTTACATATATGTTGCCCAGCTTCTTCCCGTGATGGTATATAGAAGTTGCCTAACTTCTTCCCATGGTGTTGTATACATGTTGCCTAAATGCTTCCCATGGGGATGTGTACATGTTACCAACTTCTTCCCTTGATGGCATCTACATGTTGCCTAAATTCTTCCCATGATGGTATATACATGTTGTCTACTTCATCCCTTGATGGTATATACATGTTACCTACTTCTTCCCTTGATGGTATCTACATGTTGCCTACTTCTTCCCTCGATGGTATATACATGTTGTCTACTTCTTCCCTTGATGGTATATACATGTTGCCTATTTCTTCCCTTGATGGCATCTACATGGTGCCTAACTCCTTCCCATGATCTTATATATGTGTTGCCTATCTTTATCCCATGATGGTATAAACATGTTCCCTAACACTTTTTAAAGAAGAAGATAGACTAAGAACGCACTTACCATTTGAGGCCCCACATTTTTAAAAAGGAAAATAGACAAAGAACGTACTTGTGATTAGAGGCCCCACATGTTTTCAAAGAGGAAGATAGACAAAGAACGTACTTGTGATTAGAGGCCCCACATTTTTTAAAGAGGAAGACAGACTAAGAACGTACTTGTGATTGGAGGTCCCACATATTTTTAAAATGAAGATAGACAAAGAATGTACATGTGATTAGAGGCCCCACATTTTTTAAAGAGGAAGACAGACTAAGAACGTACTTGTGACTGGAGACCCCACATTCTTTTTAGAGGAGTTGAAACAAAGAATGTACGTGGGATTTGAGACCCCACGTTTCTTTGATAGGAGGATAGACAAAGAACGTAACTGTGATTGGAGGCCCCACGTTTATTTTAGAGGAAGATAGACAAAGAATGTATTTGTGATTGGAGACCCAACATTTTTTAAGAGGAAGATAGACGAAGAATGTATTTGTGATTGGAGACACAACATTTTTTAAGAGGAAGATAGACGAAGAATGTATTTGTGATTGGAGACACAACATTTTTTAAGAGGAAAATAGACGAAGAATGTATTTGTGATTGGAGACCCAACATTTTTTATGAGGAAGATAGACGAAGAATGTATTTGAGATTGGATACCAGACATTTCTTTGAGAGGATAATAGACCAAGAACGTACTTGGGATTAGAGACCTGACATGTTTTTGAGTGAAAGATATACATAGAATGTACTTGGGATTGAGTCCCCACATTTCTTTAAGAGGAGTATAAACAAAGAAAATACTTGTAATTTGAGACCAAACTTTTTTTTTTAAGAGAAAGATAGACAAGGAATGTATTTGTGATTGGCGATCCAAAATTTTTTTTTAAAAGGAAAATTGACAAAGAATGTTCTTGTGATTAGACACCCGACATTTTTTAAGAAGAAGAGAGACAAAGAACATACTTGGGATTTGAGACCATAAGTTTCTTTGAGAAGAAGATAGAAAAAGAACGTACTTGGGATTGAAGACCCGACATTGTTTTATAGAAAGATAGACCAAGAACATTATGAGGGTATTACAATAGTATCCAGTGACTAAAGGAACTCCATAATGAGGATATTACAATAGTATCCAGTGACTAAAGGAGCATCATTATGAGGATATTACAATAGTATCCAGTGACTAAAGGAACTCCATTATGAGGATATTACAATAGTATCCAGTGACTAAACTAGCTACATAATGAGGATATTACAATAGTATCCAGTGGCTAAAGGAACTCCATTATGAGGATATTACAATAGTATCCAGTGACTAAACAAGCTACATAATGAGGATATTACAATAGTATCCAGTGATTAAAGGAGCATCATTATGATGATATTACAATAGTATCCAGTGACTAAACAAGCTACATTATGAGGATATTACAATAGTATCCGGTGTCTAAATGAACTACATTATGAGGATATCAGAATAGTATCCAGTGACTAAACAAGCTACATAATGAGGATATTACAATAGTATCCAGTGGCTAAAGGAACTCCATTATGAGGATATTACAATAGTATCCAGTGACTAAAGGAACTCCATTATGAGGATATTACAATAGTATCCAGTGACT